TTTGTTTTAGTCCCATATAATTTGTTTTAACTAACAGCTGGTTGAATGTAATATTGTTCTATAATATAACTATTAGGTTTTTGGCAAATTTCCCATATAGGGAATAAGCTATTACCGTAGTACTTATGGTAACACCTGGACCCGGGACCGATTTAATTTTTCGTTTTGAGGTCCCTAGAGGCCAAAAACACCATCCGTTCAAATTCATATATACAGGGTGATCAACTCAAGGAGGCCACCATTGGGAAGTCGGAAACGGTAAGAATTAGAGAAAACATTAAATGGGGGACATTCCTTTATTTTTGTTTGGCAGTAAAAAATATGATTTTAGTTTTTTATCATGTTTTTGGATAGAATATGCAATTTAAAAACTTTTTTAGCCTTGATACTTTTTCGATAAACCCACTCGTTTAGAAGTACAGCCTATGGAAAAATGACTTCCGGTGTACATTTTACATCATGTAGCTCCTAAACGAGTAAGTTTAGAATTTAGAATTTATGTCCGAAAACATGATAAAATATAGGGTGTTCGATAAGAAATTTCAAATTTGGCCGCCATTTTGGAAAATGGCGGCTGAATTTCAAACGACTAAAATCATATTTTAAACTGCCACAAAAAATAAAGGAATGTCTTCCATTTTAAGTTTTCTCTAATTTTTACCGTTTCCGATATCCCAATGGTGGCCTCCTTGAGTTGATCACCCTGTATAGCCTATATTTATTTATTTATATTTTTTTCCTGGGGGGAACCCCAAGACCCCCTCCTTTTTGGGGGGTATTCCATACCCCCCAGGCCCCCGGTGACCCCCCCCCAAAATATATGTCTAGGAGCGCCCTTGTCTTCTTTACCTATAAAACACATGGGATACAGCCTTTTCTTCACTGATCACGTAATGCGTGATTTTCTATAAAGTCTTGGAAAAATAAAAGGTAAAATAGATGGAATAAAGGTGTACTGTATGTGGTTTACACACAAATATTCATCAAACTGTGTGATATTTTGTTATTGCAATGACCAACTTGGGAGTATCGTATTGTTTAAGTCGATGGAAAATCTCTGTTGATCCTGTTTTACAAGCAAACCAAAAAGATACATTAGTCACCACTCTATGCGACATATTCTAACCAGAAAATTGTAATCGTATGATTCTATAAGCATTGATAGGATTGCAAAGTACTTCACAAACATTATTTCAAGGGTAATAACAGTCACAATTTCCGCCGACTTTAAAAGAGTCAACTAAACTACTATACTAATAGACACACAACTAAATGAAACAACTAATGGAACAACTCACGATGTACATATAACAGTTCGATATAAGCATTGAGTATACAAGGCCAGTGGATACGTGTATACCGTACCCAATGATATAAGCAACGGTTCTTGCAATTTATTGCTTATTGTTTTTTAGAGTTGTTTTCGGACTTACTCTGTTTTCGGACGTACTCACACTCGTATAAGGTTGTCCACGTTTGTCATTGATAATGTAGCCATGTTACATGGTTACACCCGTTGTCAAGAATATGGTTACAAGTTTTCCGTCTGTTTTTGAATAGCGATACATTTTTCACATACTTAAGAACCACCTGATTTCGTGCATTACACGTTCGTCTCAATTTTAATTGCTTTAGTAGGCATTATTTTGGTTGATGAGGACTTCAATCGGTCCTTTCAATGATAGCTCATGAAATATAGTACTTTGTCCATTCATTTTATTGTTTGGTAAAATGGATTAAATTATCCTGCAAACCCAAATAGAAATAGTAAATGTAGTATTTGAAACAAATCAGTAACATGTTAATAATGTAACCTACATTATTTCCTTTAATTGCATAACAGCAATTAATTGGGCTGATCCTAATATAAATAAATCAATATGTTCTTCATAGGCATAACATGGGTTCATAGCATGAGCCGCTGGGGCTGAGCCCAAGGGATTTAAAAATGTAAGGTTGGTTTGCAAATGTACGTGTCACGCTCTTTCTAATGAGACATGAATGGTCAAAATCACCTAAGAAATTCGGAGGAGGTCAACGGAAAAATTTCGTGTTGGCGTTATACAGTATGGTTGAAAAGTCCTGGATTGGCTATGTATATTTTTTTAACAATATAGATAAAGTAGTGAGACTTGGTATATCAATAATATAATAGCCATAAATATCTACTGTCTTAAGCTATTATCACTGTTTAATCCCTTAAGGTGGATGGACCACAAAGACTAAGACAAAATTCTTATATAATTTTAATACTATTTAACCTGTTTTTGAAATGGCGACCATACAAATGTATGCATTTTAAGCCAAGTATGAATGGAGTTGAGTGTGTGATGAGTGGAGCGATCTTGTTGTCCTGTTAGTGACTAAGGCCGACGTAATCCTTAGACACAGCTGTTAATTAATAGTCCATACAGTCAATTAATAGCAGCAGAGGTCAAGTTTGGTAGGTATCAAATTAAAGGTTTTAATTATAAAAATTCATTGCCGCAAACCCAAACTCAAACGATGATGATGATAATAATGTTAATGATGTAGCTAAAACGTATCGTTTGAAATTGAACAGCTGAAAATAAGTTAAATAGAAAAGGTTTTGGTTAAATCCATCAAATTGTTATTGGACACTAGTAAGTACTAGTGCACTTTTTTATATTGATTATATGATTATATTGATTTACTTTGGATTTTAAAAATGTGAACGTTTTATTTTATTAAAGATTTATGGTGATACGTAAATATTGTGGTGTAGTAAAGTATATTATATTGTAGTTAAGTGTTAAATTTTGAAATTTTAGGGTGAATCGAGATGAATCTTTTTTTATAACATGGGTCTCTCCTACCTACATACCAAGTTGGATACATACCAAGTTTCATAAACATCGGTTGGAAAAGTGTAAAGATAAATATTTGTATGTAAAAATACAAAATGGCAGATATCTGGTTAACGAAACGATTTTGGAAAAAATGTTATCCTTGATTTTCTGTTTATTTTGAGCCAAGGAATTACTAGGTAAAGTATCTCCCCGCTTATTTTTAACACCCTGTTTATGATGTATTCTTATAAGTGAAAAATGTAAGCTGGTAATACAGAAAGATGTTTTATAAATAATATGAATGTACTGGTGATCTGTATATTCATCTTTTTCTTGTTCTTAGAACTGTAAATTTTAAAGTCCACTCAGCAGTCGCATCGTACGATGTAGTTCTTTCCATGCGTTGCGAAATGTTAAATTTGCCGTCCTCTTCAACCCAAGTTATCTATTGAACCACTGATTGTAAAAAATTCAAAAAAATATATTTTACGCATCACACTTTTGGCTACAACTTTGCCACAGAAAAAAACCTCCTTAACCCAAAAACAAAAAAGAATCTCGCATGCTAACTTTTTCATGCTAGAAATCACGATTTAAAACTATTTCACCATACATATCAATTTTTATTAATTAGATCGGTAAATAGTTTAAAGTTCCAACAAAATAGTCATCGAGTAGGACTAACCAAGAAGCTCTGTGCCAATTTTCAAAATTTTAGCACAACTTTAAGTACACCAAAACACGAAATTATTGAAGTCATGCGTCGAGAGGACTATCGCTGTTTTAAACAGATTATACTTTTGACCTTCCGGCACTGTTGACTCAGCGAAACTGAACTTATATTTTATCTTATTTCGTTATATTAAAACTGCTGTTGCATTAGGTCAAATTCCCAATAAGTCAATTGCTTTAACATAGACCACGTTTTTAGCTCGGACTGTACTATTTGACTTACTGGGATTTTTGATCTACAGACACTGCAAACATTGTAGTTTTTGACCTAGCGGCACAGGTATAAATTATTTGACCTTCCGGGACTGTTGACTTTCTGCAACGCGTCCTTTTGGTGATAGGTGGTTGTGTTGTGGTAAATCGGTCCCGGACCTAGGTCTTACCATGAGACCTTCGGTAATAGCTACTTCCCTATAGGGAAATTCACTAAAAACCATTTGTAATCTTTTTTTAAGTCCAGCGGGATTTGGAAACTTGTGTAGAGATGGGAAAACACTAGCTATAAGGCACTCGCCCCATTTTTTTAGCCTGACCCAGGTCAATAAAGAGAATTTGTGAATCTGTATATTCAGACGGACCCTTGAACCATTGGTGAATCTGTATGTGGCCATAGAACATGGCAAACTAGTCCTATAAAGTACGATTTATGATTTATTTGAATCTGATGTACAAACTCTTGTGTGTTTAAAAACAGAAAAAATCACTGATTTATGTAGGTACAGTAGAGTCCCGCAAACTCGGCGTAATGTGGACTGGAAGGGTGCCGAGTTTGTGAAATTCCGGGTTATCTGGAACTAGGGTTAAAAATAATAACAATACAATTTTTAAGCTTATTAACTGCCTCTTTTATTTATATTTATAATACAACTTAGTATTAAGTAATCAAATCCAGTACAACAAATCCTTGGTACGAGCTGCGAATGATTTGGCTTGAGTCCATGTTTAACTCGGACTCAAAAAATTACTAATTTTCTGAGCCAGGTGATGGCCGAGTTATCCAGACTGCCGGGTTATCGAGTGCCGAGTTTGCGGGACTTTACTATTAATATGAGGAACAAATTTCACCTTCAAATTAACATTGTCCAGTAAATTAAAATAGAATGATTAATTTAGCAAACACTACAGTAAAACAGCAGCATTTTTGAAAAGCCTATGCATTTCAATTTAACGAATTAACTAGCAACTAAAAATGCTTTAATAAATTAACTGGATTTGATGAAAGTTGTATTTGATGCGTAACTTTAATAAAATTGATGGAGAAAATACTTAGTCATTGTAACATACAAAAATTATTATTCATTTTATTATTTGTTATTTTTATAATAACTTTCAGCCTATTTCTTTGAAGAGATGTTAAAAAAATTATGTGATTGCAGTTAAATATACTCCGGCATATTAAATGGTACTGAATAACATAAGAGCAGTAACTCCATAGGATGATCATAATTAGATACATACATCAGGTACGAAAGGTGGTTCATGCATGCCTGCTTCTAGCCTCTTCCAGTTGATACACTTGAAAAACTCGTGTTGTTTGATTTCTCGAGCACCATAACGGCCACAATGGCAACCGAGTCGTTGTTTTGGCAACTTCTTTAGCAACTGTAGATAGAAAACACTACATAAATATTTCTTGCTAGTTCATTACTAAGAGAGGAGAAATAATAACAAGGTTACATGGATAATACAAGGAATTCAAATTTATTGATATTAATTATTTCATTATGGATACATCAGAAAAAATGTTGCAAATAAGCTAACTTGAGTTTTATTTGTAGTACAACTAAAAATCTAAAGTATTTTAACATTTAAAAATATAAATTTTTACAGTATATCTTCCATTAACCGGGGGCAGATCAACCGTGGTCAGTAGCTATCTCTAAAATTACGTTACATAACCTCAATATCCCAGAAAAATACCAAGAACATTTTATGAACTGTACTGTACTTCTTAATTCTAGTGTATTAAAATCCAATGGTTATTAAACTAATTTGGTCCAATATTGATGTTTAGCAGGCTCCCAAATTATTGCTTTTGAAATATCACAGTTAATTTTTTTTAAATAGGTAAGTTAAAAAAGAGGCAGAGCAAGAAATATCGATCACCAGCTCCAAGGTAACATCACGCTTGTGCTGACAATCAACTGCTCCTTACATATACGTCTGCTGTGCACCTGTTATTATGACATTATTTATATGGCATTACAGTGTTTTTATGGACCTGTCAAGAATTATTTTTTACCATATTGGGTTAACTGGTTTTCAGTTACCTGTGGTCTCCAAATATCTTGGATAATCGATGTTCAGCAACTTTTGCTACGGCTTGACTATGTAAATATTTACATTGGAGTTCAAAATAAATTGATCAAAAGTACGAAATAAAAACACTATAGTAAATGGTAAGAGCAAAAATTATTAGGATTTTGGCAATCAGGCATTTTCAGAATCTTCACTAATTTTTCACATATTAAATACGCTAAGAATACTGACTAACATAGCTTGAGAAAAAACTGTGTGTACTGTAGTTGTTTAAAGATTACCTGTCTGCAGAGAGATTTTGCTTCCTCCGTAAACTTGTGAGAGTATTTTTCTTGATCCTCCTTTACCCGCCTGTCTACTTCCTCTCTTTTTACCTACACAAGAGATAGTAGCTATATTAATCATTCAAATCTCTTGACATCAGTGTTGCTTTTAATTACATTATTTAATAAAAACTACCAGTATTGAGATGGTGATTTTGAGGGGTCTGTGGTGCACCGATAAAGTCGGTACGGTATAGTTCTAGCTTAGTTATCGTCATCCGTTTGGTACAGCATTTTACGGTTCGGTACAGCCTATTAAAACAATAAATTACTTTCAGTTTACTTTCCTAATCAACAATAGTTGGTTCCGAGCGAATAAAAGGTTTATCAGATGTTTGTTTGCGATCTTACATCGCAAAGCTGTAACCATCTTATCATCGATGGTGGCAAGCCTGCTTGCCTGAATGTGTCACGGTGAATTATCGCTCCCGGTTGTATCACAATTTTAAACAGTTTTGTCTTGTGCAGCTTTTGTAGTGTTGGCTAACGATTAGTTATATTAATTACGCTTCGTTCTTTACATGCATACCACTCTGGACACTGTAAGTAAGTTACAATGTGGTAAATGTGTCTGTAACTAACCTACAAAGTTGAGCTGCAACAAACCTGAAAGCTGACCGAGGAGCGGGTGGTTCATATTGGACAGCGCTGCCAACTGCACAGAATGTGATTAACCTCTGTCTACTCAGCCGCTTCTACCCTAACGTCCCGCTGCAAGAATTTTTACGGCGCCTTCAAACTTTATGATACTTTGCGCCCATCATAACTGTGTTGTTCGGCATTGACTACTTTGCAGGGAGTAGATTTTAATCCCTAATTGCATAAAATTTGACAATGAATAACGAAGATGAACTTATTTATGAAACGGGTGATACAATACAAGAATCTACACTTTTCGATCTTACTAACGAGATAAATAGTATAGAAGCTACCTACCCTGACGTGTCTCTAGATAATATTTCCAGGCATATATCTACATTATTGCAAAATATTGAAATCTTAAATGCCGAGAGGGAAAAAAGACTAAAGATATGGAATCATGTATGGAGGAGCTGAAAATAATGTCGTCAAAACTATGTTTGGAAAAAGAACGTCTACAGTACGAGATGAACTCCTCTTTTAAAATTCAAGATGATGCTGATGTTCAGATTGCCGCCTTGAACTCACGTATCGGGCTGCTGGAGGAAAAGCTCTGAGGGAAAGATGGTGACGTGGTATCCTTGATTGCCGAAAACAGCTCGCTGAACGTGAAATTGGTGGAACTGTCTAATACAATAAAATTGATGGACTCCGACAACAAAAAACAACTAAATCTTATTTTGGATTTTAAAGTTAAGACTAGTTTAGCTCAGCAAGAGGTTATTAGCTTAGCTTAAATAAAATGTTAAAAGACAAATGGGTTGACGACAGTATTATAAGTGATTATTTCCTTTCATTGCTAGCTATGTGGTTGAAGGTAATTGTCTGTTTCTCACTCCAGCTTTGTCACAACTAATAAAGCTTGGTAATCAAGAAGTTATCTCAGACATAACTGGATCCGTTGGTTATACTAACTGTAAATATTTATTTATGTGTCTGAACAATAGTTGTGATCTGGCAAATGGGGAATCTGGATCACACTGGTCTTTGTTTTTTATTGACAGGCTCCAGCAGCATGCTTATCATTTGGATACTGTGTCAGGTGTTAACGATAAGCATGCAATCACCGCTGCTTTAAACTTAGGTATTCCCTCTGAGAATGTCCATTCAATCCCTTGTTTCCAGCAGAGGAATAGTCACGAATGTGGTATTAATGTGTTGGTCCATGCCAAGATCATCCTGCATTATTATTGTTTACCATTAGTTAATAAGAGTTTTATGGAGTGGTTTGAATCTATACTTATTTAATACGCAAGCAGGATTTTTGTGACAATTACTCCTCCGTAACTACTGAACCGATTGACATGTTCTTGGTGTCATTGGAAAGAGCGTAACGTGAAGTTGTGCGGGAAACTTTCTTTTTAGGTAAATAATTAGAGTGAGGAGCTGGGGCCCTTTAAAGTTTCGTATTTCTCCATAAGATTAACATGGGAAACAAACATTGTTTTGAAACTCCAGCTGTTCTCAGAAATTAAATGTTAATAATTGGTCTCCATGGAAGCATGAGAAAATTCACAATGTTTACATTTGCTTTGCCATTTAAATGTAAACAACCAGAACTGTCAAATGCCTATTTCACAATTTCAGACAGCTGATCCAAAAAAAATAAAAACTATGTGGTAGGTTTGGTATGGTTTGGTTTATTTAATCTTAATCTTTATGGTAGATTATTTATTATAAATCTATTTCAATGATTATGAAATCGATTTTTCCCGTTGCGAAGCAAAAATTAATATTGAGAAAAAGAACATATGTTAATTGTAAACAGTCAATGTGTAAATTATCTATGTTGTATTAAAAATGTGTATAGTTTTGGATGTTGGTTGTGTTTATAAGTTATTAGTTATTGAATTTTTATTTTAAGGATTTGGTATGAGTAAGCCTATGATAAATAACACCATTTCAGGGTTCTGCCAGTTTTTGCCTAACTCTGTCCTGTAGAGTTTAAAGAAGCCTACACCTTATTGTCTACAAATTGGCTAAATAACTTAGGTACGGTACTTTATAAAAGCTGACAGCCTTTTTTCGTTGACTTAAATTGTAAGCTTACCTTTTCCCGTCCATGGGCAGTTTGATTGTTAAAAGTTAACCCTTTAAACTGGAATAGGACTGTTGTAAATTGTGAGTATTTCCATAACAAGTTATTTGTTTATAAATGACTCCTGTACTTCTTTGCAATTGCTCGATTTCGAGCAACATGTACACTAGTATGATTTAATGGGTAAGCCTAGACTAGCTACTACTGATGTCAATGAGCCTTTAGAATGTAAAATAACAGATTCTAGTTTATGTAGCAAATCTCTAGAAACCACAAGTGTAAATAACAATGGGATGGTGAGCTCATTTGTGATGAAAAAATCGATGCAAATTGGACACTTGTCAAACCCCACACAAAACGTAACTGTAAGTCCAAGTCCAGTAGGGGAAAGATTTCTCATTCTAATGAAAAAATTTAGTGTGATAATATGTATTCATCTCTTAATGTATTAGGAGAAAATGCAACCGAAGATGTGACAGAAAACTATGTGAGCAATACATCTGGCAAATGGAAAAAGTCATGTAAATAATTAAAGTAATATTTACATTTAAAGAATTAATTAAATAAGAACGCCTTCGCAAAGGAAACGCATTTACAACACGCTCCTGTATTGCGGGTATTGCATTGACTTTCTGCAGGCGTTTTTAATTTTTTTTTTTTTTTTTATTCTCGTCTTGATAAAAATCTCGGCCAAAAAGAAATCTAGTCTCGTGTAACGAGATTTAAAATTTCCCGAAATTTCGAGACTTGACCATCCCTATTGATTTTTTACAATTTTAAACCAAACTGGTGAGTTCAAAGATAAGCTCAAGTTTCAAGGCCGTACTCTACTCAAACTCGAAATCTCGAATACTCGCCCGTTTTGTGTTAATAGTATAAACAATACAGATCCATTAAAACCGGATCCAGCCCAAGATCCGATTTTTTGTGGATCCGATCAGGCGTTGGTTCTAGCTCAGATCCGGCGGAACCGGTAGTCCGATATCCGGATCCGACCATCACTAGAAATAACAAACAGCTGATTGGATAAAGATTATTTTTTTCTAGCTGTCACCATTGACTATACTGTTAATATGTTTACATTAAATGTTGTTTACAAATATCCACCATTTCCAATCACATTTTGTAAACAAATCCAAAACCTCGTGAGATTAATAACCTTGTGACTTATATAACATATTTAATTGATTGCAAGTACAATATTGTGTAACTAAAAATGCAATTTAATAACTAGGCATCATCCAGGTCGGGAACAGGAGAGTCTGGGTTGTTTCAAATTGTAGGCTGCTTGAGTTTTGACAACCAGTAAAAAGACTGTGCACCAGTGTTTTATAGGACTACATTTTTTTGGAAACCATCATAGCTAGCCTACTATTGAGGTTTCCACTCTTTAACGGCGTTTCGATGGCTTTTGTGTCAAGTCAAAAATCACAACTGCTGTAGGTTATTGTAGATGTTGCTGCTATCTCGGAAGATCTTTACGATTTCGTTGTGATCATAACAGAGGTTTAGGAATGCTGCTAAACTCGCTTTACCAATGTGCCACTTTCGGTTTTGACAGACCATTATTATTATTGATCCGTTATTATTGCGCTGCCATCGATGGACCGTACCACTAATAAAAGATGGGTCTATGGCCCATCTTATATCGGTACGCAGACCTATCCAATTGTCCATAGTCACAATAAATTTGTCGTCAGGTTTTGGTGCCGGTACTTTTTCGCTAGAACCGTTGGTAGCGAGAATCATTTTTGGATACCAATACATCACTATTTACAACTTAGTTATCGTTGATTTTGCACCTTTCTTACTATCATATTAAATTTAATTGATGTCTTACTGTATAAGATTTGCGTTTTCTGTCTATGTTCCACATCTTATGCGTTTATAATATGAATATTTTAACACATTTTCATTTTAGCAAACCGTCATGAACTGTTACATACCAACCTTTAGGGCCTAGAGGAACACACACACACACAGAGAGAGAGAGAGAGAGAGAGAGAGAGAGAGAGGGGGAGGGAGGGACATCACTTTGAAAATTACTTTTATGGGTTCAAGGGGACCAAAAACACTGATATTTCCACCCAAAACTTAAACTCAAAAATATCGACAAAAACAATACTTTCTCCAACATATTATGTATAGGGAGAGAAAATAAAAAACAGCAGTATAACTAATTGTTAGTGTAACTTGCACAATTAATCATACAACTATGTACAGCAGAAATTCTATTACTGTGGAATTACCTTTTCTTTCCTTGCTCGAAAGGGTGCCTGCCCCTCAATCATTTCATAGATGAGACATCCAAAACTAAACCAATCAGGACTGAAAGTGTACTTTTCATTATCTATTACTTCTGGAGCTGAAACAACATTAGAAATTAGGTTCAATACAAAATTTAACCCTCCGAAAGGACATGGGTAGTTTCCATAGAGGCCAATCCAAATTGTCATTTTTGCAGACATTTTCTTTTTAATCGTATACAGTTTAATTATGGTTGGAAGTTGGAACATATTATTACGCATATTTGTTTTATTCAGAAAACCCAGAGGGATCTGAAAATGTGAAAATTAAATTGATCGAACACATGAAATTTTTACAAAATTACAAAAACAAACAAAAAAATTGAATTTCTGGGTGAAATTTCAAAGTTAAAGTTGTAGCCTGACCAAAATAGTTATTTGTGTAACGAGTGGGCAAAGTGGCACTTTGCTGCAGACGAGAGCAATGTTAGCAATGTTGTTGGAATGATCTCGAGTGCAGCAAAGGCCTTTTGCACTCGTGTTACACATTATATTTTTCTACAGTCACTATAAAGCATATAAATAATTAGTCTTTCAAACACTATACAACACGTTTTTAGGTTCAGCTGGCAACACAAATAGGTGCCCTAGAGAAAGTAGTACCGGTACCCGGTCCGTATCACTCCGCTATTTTTCCTCGGCAAGAAATGTGCTCCGCGTTTTGAGAATATAGTTCCGCATGTTTTTGTAATTTAAAGTGGTTTCCGCGCCTAAAAAAAATGCTTTAAAGGTATTTTCTTGTTTATTAAGATCGTAGGAATGTTTTAAAAACGTTTAAAAGAAAAGTCCAGAAAGTTCAGAAATACCGAAACTATAAACACGAAATGACAGGTTAAATCGTAGTTATAATAGTCAATCAGCTGCTCATAGTATTACTATCTTTAAGTGTTGCCAACCTATTTCCAAGCGTACACGGATTACGTGCATAATAGCACCACGCTGTTTTGTGTTGTTTTGTTGGAATCCTGATGTGCGACAAAGTATAAACCGTACGGCAAAGTATAAATATGCAGCAATTAGCAGCTTTCTGTACTATAAACAGTACAAGGAAGCCAACTTTGTCGGGTGTAGGAAAACAATTTTTCATGCAAAACTTATTATAAACATTTTGTTTAAAATGTCATTCCCTAAATAAAAATGCAAAGCACATATAGAATAACATCTTTTTGTAAGTATTGTGCTATTATATATGGAAAATCGGAAAATGTTTTGACCGTGAGATTTTATTTTGGTAATAAGCCAGGAATGATAAGTATATTCTTAGACAGTATACATATACAGGGTGTCCCACGAAGAGGTTTAAACATTTGATTTCATATTTCTTGCCCATTTATAGACCAAACATTGTGAAACCTCACAATTTGTAAATTAGGGTTTTAAAATATTCTGGCAAAGTTTCAGGTCCCTAACCCTTGTAGAAACAAAATGGTGGCATATTGAATGTTTTTTATTACCGTAACTAATTATTTTTAATTAATTTATTATTATTTATTAATTAGTGATATATCACAGTTTGAATAATTTTGGACTCTACTTTTAGGTTTTTCATTAGGCTAGGCTATGTTCTAATTTCCTGATGAAAAAGCCTTATTTTCCCTAGGATGTGATGATACAAATATTTTACAAAACCAAAAACACTATTTTTTATGTGTTTATAGTATCATTTTTCCAGAACATTTTTAAAACATACTTTATAAATTGTTTATAAAGTTTTAAAATGTTCGGAGCATAAAGGGCATGTAATATAAAATCAAAAGTTTAAGCAAAATTCGTCGGACACTCTGTATATGTAAAGGCAATGAACATAATCCTTTGAGTGCCGCAGTGTCATGTATATTTCTTATGCATAAATTGCTGAGCTAATTTCAAAGAAAAATGCAGTAGCCATAAAAAAATAAAATGTCATATAAAATACAATTTTAGAGGTATCCATGTTTTTTTTTCATTTTTGTGCAGAGATATCAAAAAAGATATCAACAAATTTCAAAATTAATTGGGACCAAAAATAATATTTTTTTGAAGAAGACTAACTATACTAACCATCACAACAAGTTTCACAAAGATATAAGGTTTGTATAACTTATGCTAAACAATTTTATTCAACATATCAATCATAACAGCCAGAAAGAGCAAAAAATAGAGATCAAAATTGATGTATAGATTATCAATATGAGTTCAAAACAATTAAAAAAAAATAAATAAAAATATATTACAATTCCAAATATGTGGTTACTAAGCAACGCTGAACTATAATTCTGCAATATAAACAACTATTATTTTTTAGTTTGTTGTTGGTAAAGATTGTTATCTATATAAATAAAATTAGAGTTTAGAGTACATTGCTTAGAATCATGCAGTTTTTGGTTATTTTTACGTTTCATAGCCAAAGAAAGCCGAAACAAGTCTTATCTCAATTTCTGTCTGTATGTCTGTTTGTCTGTTTGTCCATTCTGTGACTCCGTCTGTAACGCCAAAATGTCATTTTACGCGGCCTTCTCCTAGAAAACTAGATTACCGATCAAGGTTCTAATCATTTTTCTGTATTTACTGGATTGGTGAGAGTGTCTTTGGCCATAAAAACATGGCCTCGCTTCTTTGAAAACAAAATAACAAACCATCAAAAACCCAATTTCGTTCGATTTTTGTCAAATTTTCTCCTAATGTTTACTATTACATTTTATGAAATAACGATCAGCTGTTTGGATTAGTTCTCACTTCTAGCTGTCACTGATATGTTTACATTAAAAGTTGTTTACAAATACCGCAACCATTTCCGATCAAGTTTTGTCAACACATCCAAACCAAGTGAGATTAAAAACGTTGTGCCTTACTTAACCGGTTTAATTAATCGCAAGTGCAACGATTGTTCTTGAGTTATGATAACCGGGGAAAATGCCGTGAATCAGTGTTGTATTAGTGCTGGGAAACTTACCTACATTTTTTTAATCATCGTCACCAATAGCTTACAAAAAGGTTTTCACTTCCTGACGACGTTTCAAGGACAGTTGTGCAAAGTGCAAAGTAAAAAATCACAAATGCAGTGGGTGATCGTGGATGTTGCTGAAATCTTGGAAGATCTATCTGATTTCACTGTGATCGTAACAGAAGTTTAACTTACAGATGTAGCTAAACTCGCTTTTCCAATGTGTTGTTCACTTTTGGTTTCTACTTACATTTCGACAACGATATCGGTACTTTTCCTATCTAGGAAGTAAAACTAAAAACGTCCAAAACCCCAGATTTGTGCGTTTTTTTAACATTTCCTCCGAATGTTTGCTAGATACATGTACCGATTATCGTTTAGAGATTACGTAGGCCTAATCTTTTAAATAAGAAACCTTTGTTTGGATAAAGGTGGTTTCTTCAAACTGTCATTAATATGTTAACATTAAAAGTTGCTTACAAATATGAAATAATGCTATTAATGGGAAATAACTTTGATTTTCAAAAACTTAAAAAGAAAATTAAAAACAAGGGAGATTAATAACTTTGGTACTGCACCCCATCAAGTGAAAGTTTTTTTTTGAGCAAACCATAGTGAGTTTTTAAAGCTTTACGTTGTTAACGTTACATGTTACATGTTTTGTGACCTGTGTATTTATTTATTTATATATTTGCCAACGGATTAACACCTATAATACAGTTTGATTAGAAGGACAGTTTGGATTGGTCGTAAGTACTATAGTTATTTTCTTAAATGTAAACGTTGATTTTTGGTACTGCTACTTTTCCTTAGAACCGGTGGTAGCAGTAAGAATCATTTTTACGTACAAGCACATTACTATTTACAACTAGCCATTTGATGACACTATAAAAACTTTCAAATAATTGTTTTGTTTGCAATGTTAAAGCGTAGGAAATCCCCTAATTCAATTCTGTATTTGAGTGTGTATGCTGTCTGTTGGTAACGCATTAATGTCCTGATTTCTCAGTGTTTCGTGGAAAAGATAATATGTTTTAAGCATTAACATTAAGCACCTTTGTTAATGAAAATTTCAACCCGAATAAAGTGTGCAGTAGTGAGGTTGAGGTAGTATTTTAACTACTTTTAACCAGTGTGAAAAGTAACTTTCAATTACAGCCCTACCTTAGGGCTATGCCTCATAGATCTATAAAGCAATTCCTTTTATCATTAGATATAAAATATGGACTAACACGATCGGGTGACATATAATTGTGAAGCATTCGTTTTGGCTTTGAAACTGTCAGATATTGTATTTGCGAAGGTTTATATGCATTCCTATACAGTAATAGTTTTGCCAGCATATCAGGAAATATTCATAAGCAAACCAACTCCTGTTCTGAAAATAAGAAGGTTTCAACTTACTACAAGATTCCCGTACGTAGAACGGGCAAACAGCTAGTCTATACTATTATAAAATTGAGGTGGAGTCTGTCTATCTGGGCAGTCACAACTAAAATACCAAAATCGATACAGCCAAAATTAAGCACAAATATGGTCCACATAAATAGGAATGTCATTGGCCTATTCACTTCCCTGAAGCATGAGAAAATTCACAATGTTTACCTTTGCATTGACATTTAAATGTAAACAATCAGAACTGCCAAATGCTCATTTCACAATTTCAGACAGCTGATCCAAAGAAATTAAATGTATTTTCCAAAACTATGTGGCAGGGTTATTTCATCTAAAACTTTATGATAGACTAGCAGTTACCAGGCACACTTTGCTGCGTTAACAACTATTATTTCAAATGGTAATTTGTTCTTTAAGATAAATAATAAAAAAAAGAGCTCAGGACTGGTTACTTTTAAATTCATTTTTGAGATAGAAGGATATTTTAAGGTTGATGATGTTAACTTTTAATGTCCTCACATTTCCACATTCTTTTTTTTTTATACGTAAGCATGATAAGTATAGCCTATTTTGACTTGTTTTTAGGCTTGTTTTGTTTTGTAAAAAAATAGGCTGTCTATGTAATAGCTGAATTTTCTTGACATTTGTCTATTGCATTTGTTTGTAAATGTTTAAGGACAATAAAACGTTTCTGATTTCTGATTATAATCTCCAGTTTTTGTTGGATGGATAAAACTACGC